AGAGTATGAACAGGGGAGGGTCAGAGAGAGAGGGAGACACAATCTGAAACAGGCTCCAGGCTCTGAGCTGTCAGCACAGAGCCCGACGCGGGGCTCGAACTCACTAGCTGCGAGATCATGACCTGAGCCGAAGTCGTACGCTCAACCAACTGAGCCACTCAGGCGCCCCTGCCATGGGATTTTTTGACATCATCTCTCCCCTCAACTGTTTCCTTGAGTTTAGAGACTCTGTCTCCTTTTCTCCCCATTTTGTTTCTAGCACAGTACTGGGCACGTAGTAGGTTCTTATTATGTGTTAAATTGGTGGACAGATAACAGGATGAACAGATGAGTAAATGAAGAACGAAGCATCTGATTGCAGTACTGAAGTGTTGGGCCTTTGGAGACAGTGAATGAGAAAACATGATAGCATGAATTGGTGGTATTTTTCCTGTTTGGTGAGGGTGACTGAGTGAATACGTGAATGTTTGAATTGAGTGAAGGAAGACATTAAATGAGGGTCTCAGACCCCCTCTTGCACACCCAGCACATGCCTCTCTGCATCCCCAACGGCCCTTAGGAAGGTCAGGGCTCTGGGATGCACAGTTTTACAACCGTCTTGCTTCTGCTCAGACCCTGGGTCCCAGCAGCAGGCCTCTGAGGCCCCCCTCCCAACCCCACAGAACAGTCCATGGGTAGTGTCACTGGCCCCCACAGGAACAGACTGAGTCTCTATCTCTCACAGACATCAAAGCAGACGAGAAGAGTTCTTGCACCCTGCCTGAGGGCACCAGCTCCTCGCCCCAGGAAATTGACCCCACCAAGGAGAATCAGCTGTACTTCACCTACTCTGTACACTGGGAGGTGAGAAGGGGCTGGAGCTCATGACAGGGGAGGCGGGTTCTGGTCTGGGCAGGAATTGTCTAACAAGAGACCTGACTCCCAAGTGCTTCTTTTCCATCCTATCTTCCCCCTTCCCCTGCCACCCTCCAGGAAAGTGACATCAAATGGGCCTCTCGCTGGGACACTTACCTGACCATGAGTGATGTGCAAATCCACTGGTTTTCTATCATTAACTCCGTCGTGGTGGTCTTCTTCCTATCAGGTGAGAGATCTGTGGGATGGAAGGTAGAGAGGACAAGAGGGTGAGGGAGGAAGGTCTGAGGCATCACATTACTTAAGGGGGACTTCTAGGGTGTTCCAGGGGGCCGAGTGTAGGTCAAAACAGACATCAGGGCTCTGTGCTAGGCGTCAGGTGTGCAGAGGTGAAGAAGATTCAGTCTCTACCTTGGAGAGCTCCCTAGGGAGAGACAGATACATCTCTTCGTGCACACCTTCCTTGATTCATTCGACAAGATTTTGTTGTTGCCCATGCTGTGCAGACACTGTGCCACAGGCCGGGGATGTGGCATTGAGCGGGTCCAGCCCAGTCTCTGCCCCCAAAGAGTCTGTTCTGGTGGTAGGAGAGACAAAAAAGCAAAAACATGGTTGAGACCTGAGGGTGATAAGTGCTGTGGAGCAGATACAGGGTGACCAGACGCCCAGCTGTGGAAGGCTGCTTTAGAGAAACCCTCTCTGAATGAGGAGCACCATTCAGAGACCCGGGGAAGGACTGGTCCAGCAAGGCCACGGCCCTGCAGTAGGACAGGCTTGGTGAGAGGCTGGCGAGCAGGAGGAGGGTAGTGGGCAGAGGTAGAGTAAAACTGGTCATTTCAGTATCATATGGGAAGTAAAGATAATGCCTGCTGCTCTGTATTTCACACTTAACTGAGGGCCAGCTGCTGTGTTAATAAGCACTTTAGAAACCTCTCATTCCTTCAGATTCCATGAGCTAAGCCTAAAATGTTAAGTTAGCTTGAGGTCATACAACACGTTCTCTTAACCACTGTCGTGTGCTGCCCACAGTAGCAAACGAGCTACTGTGGAGGTACAAGTGAGGGGACCTCCAAACCATTTGGTGTGTTGAAAGGCAAAGATGCCTAGAGTGAGTCTTGCAGCGGGGGTGGGAGTCAGGGCAGAGTGGGGCGTTGCAGGCAAAGGGAGCAAGGAATAGCCCCGGTAGAGGCGTGAGGTGAGAGTAGAGGAGGCTGTGAACGGATGACAAAAGGAGTAGACAAGCAGGGCAGAGTAAGAGGTGAGTCTGGGAGGAAGTGAGGCTACAGAAGTCAGTAAGACCAAGCCACAGAGCAGCTGGGTGCTGTTCTCCCTGGAATAAAAAGCACTGTGCTTTGGCTGCCCACGCCTGTCCCCTGCCCTCTTTCCTGCCCCTACCAGGGGAGCAATCCTCCGTGTGCCCTTGTCTGGATAGCTGGGGTAGAGCTCTGCTCAGGAGAGGCAGCTGCATAGCCAGTTCCCACTGGAGAAAGTTCCCAGCCATCACTCAGCAAAACACCAAGCCTAGGAGGGCATGCAGCCCAGGAGACCGTATTGGCAGTACTCACAACTCTCTCCCCACCCGTTTGTTTCAGGCATCCTGAGCATGATCATCATTCGGACCCTCCGGAAGGACATCGCCAACTATAACAAGGAGGATGACATTGTACGAGGTCTTGGCTGGGGAGGGATGGACTTGGAGAGGGAGGGCAGACTAGCAGTAGGGCTCTGGGCCTATCAGACTGTGTGTGTGTGTGTGTGTGTGTGTGTGTGTGTGTGTGTGTGTGTGTTTCATAGAGTAGTTTGAAAGGGAAAATAAATGTTTAATCCCAAAATGAGGGGGATAGGCTTTCTGATTTCCAAGCACAAAAGGATTGGGAGAAATCACAGAAAGAAAACTTAATGGATATGACATTAAAAATCTAAAAACTGGGGGCACCTGCCTGGCTCAGTTGGTAGAGCATGCAACTCTTAATCTCAGGGCCGTAAATTCAAGCCTCGCATTTGCTGTGGAGCCTACTTAAAACAAAAAAATCTAAAAACTGTTCTGCATGTCAGAATACATACACACACAAAACAGAAAAGTGGGAGACAGTATTTGCAACAAACTTGAAAAAAGATGATACAGTTAAAAGAATTAAAAAGCCCCAGAATTTCTAATGTGAGAAGGAACAAAAAATGTATAAACTATACATGGCTAGTAAACTTGCGAATAACCATTTTTACCTCAGGGATAACCGCCCCCCCCCCCCCGCCCCCGCAAATACAGAGTCCAACAATAATGAGAAGACAGTGGGGCACTTGGGTGGCTCAGGTGGTTAAGCATCCAACTTCGGCTTGGGTCATTATCTCACAGTTTGTGAGTTCAAGCCTCTCATCGGGCTCTGTGCTCACAGCTCAGAGCCTGGAGTCTGTTTCAAATTCTTTGTCTCCCTGTGTCTCTCTTCCCCTCCCCCTACTTGTGCTCGGTTGCTCTCTTTCAAGAATAAACATTAAAAAAAAAAAGTTTGGACCTTCAAATCAGCTCAAGTGTTTTTTAGTATAATACTTACCATTGGCACGGTTGACCTGAGCTAAACACCTTTGCACACCACCCAAGCAAGTATAAATTGGTAGTTTTCTGAAAAGTAACTAATCAGTCCATATACCATAAGCTATAAAATGATTTGCTTGCTTTGACCCAGTAATTCTTCTAGAATTTTCCTAAGGAAAACAAAAACACAAAGGCTTGGTCTAGAAATATTTATTATAGCTATATTTATAACTCGAATAAACTGGATGTAGCCTGATATTCCATAATAATGGATTGGTTATGTTATGGTACAATTACACAATGAAAAATTGTGCAGACATTAAAATAGTAATTCAAGGAATATTTATTGGAAATGATGAAATGCTCATGATCAAACATCAACTGAAAATAACAGTACGCAGTAAATACAGTATGATTCCAATTCCATTGTTTAAAAATTATATATACATATGCACATAAACATATATAAAGGGCTAAAGGAAATGTATCAAAACAATGGCATTGTTTTATGTCTTTCTGGGTTTTTAAAAACTTTTGACTGTTTACTTATGAGTTTTATATCTTTTGTGTAGTCTTTCTGGATTTTTAAAAAAATTTCTACTTTTTGTCCATTTGAATATCATGCCATATGCCAAAAAAATATTTTTTCACTTTTTTATTACACAAGAACACATAATTTTTTTAAGTGTATTTTGTGAGTGAGTGAGAGACAGCATGCGCATGTGTGAGCTGAGGAGGGAGGGAGGGAGGGAGAGAGAGAGAGAATGAGAGAGAGAGAGAGAATGAGAATCCCAAGCAGGCTCTCTACATTATTAGCGCAGAGCCCGATGTAGGGCTCAACTCAATGAACTGTGAGATCATGACCTGAGCCGAAATCAAGAGTTGGATACTTAACCAACTGAGCCATTCAGGCGCCCCACACATACTACTTTTATAATCAGGTAAAAAAAGCTGGCGGGGGTGGGGTGGGGCACCTGGGTGGCTCAGTCGGTTAAGCATCCGACTTCGGCTCCAGTTATGATCTCACGGTTCATGGGTTCAAGCCCCGCATCAGGCTCGGTGTTAACAGCTCGGAGCCTAAAGCCTGCTTCAGATTCTGTGTCTCCCTCTCTCTCCCTGAAACCCCCACCCCCACCCGCCGCTCACACTCTCTCTCTCAAAAATAAACATTAAAAAAAAGCTAAAAAAAAATTGCTTCTAAATCTCACCACCCAAAACCCCTCAGAGTTAACATTTCATTGTGTTGATGTTTAAATTATTTTTTCATGCCCGAGGCATATGGAATTTGGAGAGGAGGTTTGCCTTTTGTGTAGCTGTCAGCCTCATATTTGTGCCCTCCTTTTCCGTGTGACAGTTCTCTGGGAAGCGCTATTTCATTTGCTTACACTCCTGTCAGAGTGGAGGCTGGTTGATACCTGAGGGACCCTCAGCCCTAGTCAGGTGGCATGGGTCCTTGGGGATGGTCCCTGCAGGAGCTGCCTCCTCTGAAGCCCAGGAAGCAGCCTCATTCTCTTACCCTTTCCTGCAGGAAGACACCATGGAAGAGTCTGGGTGGAAGCTGGTTCATGGTGATGTCTTCAGGCCCCCCCAGTACCCCATGATCCTCAGCTCCCTCCTGGGCTCAGGCATTCAGCTCTTCTGTATGATCCTCATAGTCATCTGTGAGTGGGCCTGGTGGGGCTGGGTGTGGGGTCCTGTCACCAGAGGCACACAGGCCTGAGTCTGAGAGAGGAGTGGCTTCCCCCCTGGAGAAGGGGGGCATGTCAGCAACACAGGGCCAGACAGAGTCAGCCATCCCAGTGGGAAGGCTGGGTCCTCTCAGCACCAGGCTCTGGTGGTATGATGCCCCTCAGAGTTTTCCAGCACTATTGATAGCCTACCACGCCCACTCCATCGGTGAAGCCGCACATCAGCTGTGACATCAGCCTCTCTCTACAGTCAGGCCTTAGTGACTAACATAAGTCAGCAATGGCATTGGGAACAAAATCAGGTCTTTTCTCAGAGAACAGCCCAAAAAACCCTAATATATGGTAATTCTAGATGGTTCTTAAGTCAGTCTGCCTAAATTTTTTTTTCCATTTTAACTATTTTTTGACGTATAACACTGTGTAAGTTTAAGGTAGACAACACAACAACTTGATATATGTATAGATTGTGAAATGATCACGACAGTACATTTTGTTAACGTTCATCACCCCACGTAGGTACATCATTTTTTTTCTTTGATGAGAACTTTTAAGATCTAATCTCTCAGCAACTGATCTGCCTAAATTTGTATATCAGCCTCACGCCTTTAAGCTTTGTAACTTTGGATAAGTCACTTAACCTCTGCGAACGTGTTTTCTCATTGGAGAAATGGATAACCAGCCTCTACCTTGGAGGGCTGATAGGGCAGATTCAGTGAGCTGGCGTTCATAATGCTGTCTGTCAGCTCAGTGCCTGGCTGGTTGCAAGTGCTCTGTGGGCTGGAAGCCACAGTTAAGATGTGTCCAGCCAAGGCCCAGTGCCACTGTGCCCCTCTGCATCGCAGCTGAGACCGGTCTTCCCCTGCAGAGAGGAAGGGAGTATGCTGTCAAGAAGGCCAAGGGAGAAGGGAGCCTCATTTAGCCTCATCTGCCCTGGGCCCTGTGTGCTATCCTGGGATGGGGGCTGGGGCCTGGGACCATGGCCATCAGCCACCCTGACTCTCTCTCTTCCCCCACTCCCTCCACAGTCGTGGCCATGCTCGGGATGCTGTCGCCCTCCAGCCGGGGAGCTCTCATGACCACGGCCTGCTTCCTCTTCATGTTCATGGGGTAGGTGTGTCTGAGCAGGCTCTGGGGCTGGCATAGGCTGCCTGCCCTTCAGCCAGCAAATCCCATTGGTGTGGATCCCTCCCCTTTCCCTGCAGGGTGTTTGGTGGATTTTCTGCTGGCCGTCTGTACCGCACTCTAAAAGGCCATCGGTGGAAGAAAGGAGCCTTCTGTGTAAGTATCCCAACCTCCTGCCAGTGTTGGTGTGGAGCCAAGAAGCTTCTTCCTAGGCTCCTCAGCAGTGTAGGCAGTCTGTGGTGGGGGTTAGGACCAGAGGCGCAGAGCAGCAGAGTGATAGAGTTGGGGCGGGGGGGAACTCACCTGAGGGTCAGGAACACTGGGCTGTCGCCACAGGCACCTTGAGACCTCCAAGGGCCTTTTGCTGCATGTGTAAGAAGAGAGGATTGAATTGAGGTGATTTTTAGCTTACACTGTCTGATGGCTCAAACAAGAGAAGAAATAGAAAATTCAGAATAACAGGATTTGGGCACCAAGCCTAGGTGTCAAAGTTTAAGGCCAGAAACTGACCACCAGGGCTGCTGAGAGAACATCCTGCGCCATGGAGCAAAGACAAGTACCCGCCAGGGGTAAAAGAGGCCTGGCCGTGGTGCTTCCAGCCTATCTTCTGGACTTTGTTGTCTCCATTTCCTCTTCGGGGAGAACAGGTCCTGCCCTTCTCTGTTCTCCTGGTGGTGAGGACAGTTCTTGGCAACGGAAAAGACCATAGAAACCCAGGAGGATGCCTGGGACTTGACCCTACCTCTCAGGGAGCCCTAAGCCCCCTCTCCCAGACAAGTGAGGCCCTCCAGGACCCAGGAACTCCCTGGTGCCAAACTCAGAGAAGCTTGTGGTCCCAGCTTTCTGAAACCCTTCTCTCTCTCTGTCTCTCTCTCTGTCTCTCTCTCTGTCTCTCTCTCTGTCTCTCTCTCTCTCTCTCTCTCTCTCTCTCTGTCAAAAGCCCCAGGGGAGCTCTAGCTGCGACACCCCTGGCACAAATTAAGCCCTCCCTGTAGAAGAGCTGTGAAGGGGACTGTTCTAGAAGGATCAAAGAAAGGTCCTAAATTCTTGATGCATTGAGTATTTTTCTCAGGCCACGGTGTGCCAAGAACTGAGGACCTATGGAGGCGTGGAACCCAGCCCCACCTCCCCTGGTGCGGCTCTTCCTCCCACAGCACCCCCAGGACCTCCCTCAGCCAGCCCCACACCAAACCCAGCCTCTCTGCTCCGCACCTGGGCCTTGCGTCTGAGGGCACCATCATTCACCTGGACCCCCAGGCCAGACTGTTGCGTTGCTTCCCAGCCTCCTGCTCCCTCCTGCCCACCTCCTCTCGGGCAACAAGTGTTGAGAGTTTTCCTGCCAGTCTGTGAATTCCCTCCCAGCTCCAGCTCTGGCTCTAGAACTCTTGCCCAGGTTTAGGATATCTTTACCTCTCGCCCGGACCCTTGACTATCTTAGGCGCCCCTGGTGTCCCTGCAAGAGATGACCCTTCCCTGGGGCTCTGCCTCTGCCCACAGGTGAGCATGTGCTACGGCCCACAGCTGTGCAGATACTCATCTGCCCTTCTCCAGTCTGTCTTCCCCTGTGCCCGGCCACACCACCCCCTCTCTCCTCCCACCTCATCCATAAGGTCTAGCTCCAGTGTCACCCTCTAGAAGCCTCCTCCTCCATTCTGACCTCTGTATCCTCCTTGACACCCCAGAGGAGCCTGGGCAGAGCCTCATGCCTACAAATAGTGCCATGGAGCTAGTTCTCCATTTACGGGTCTGTCTGCCTCGCTGGAATCTTCTTCCTGTTCTCACCCCTGGTACCTAGCACAGTGCCCACTCTGTAAATTTTGGCCAGGAGGGCAGATGAATGCCCTGCTGCACAGTGGTATGAAGCAGGAACACGCAACAAGGGAGGAAATGGCATTTGAAGTGGGCCTTGAGGAAGGTTTCAGATGGGCGGAAGCAGCCAGCAGGGTGGTCTGGGGTTCTGGAATCTCCTAGTTCCCAGTCCTGGCTCTGTCCTTTCTCTTTCCCTATCTCCGGTGGCGGATGGTTGCACCTACCCCTCAGAGTTGTTGTGTGGATAGAGAAACTGAATGGAAGGCCCTTGGCACGGCATTAGCACTCAGGAGCCAGATACCCTGAGATGTTGATAACTCTGCATAACAGCACAAGGGCAGTGACCCGTTGTGGAGGGCGGGGAAGTGGGGCTATGGGCCTAAGATGAAATTGGCATTGGAGGTTGAGTGCCGGATTGCAGGGGGCCTCAGGCAATGTGGTCAGTGGCCCTCCTGGGTGCTTGGGCAGCCACAGCAGTGAAGAAGGCTCCTGTAGGCCCAGGGCTTTGGTTCCATTTGCCTGGGCCCCAGTCCAAGAGATCTGAGTGGATGGTCTACAACACAGTGGGTCAGGAGCTGGGACTCAGGTTATACTGCTTGTGTTTGAGCCTCTGATCCACCCTTAGCTGTGTGGAGTCAGGGTGTGTATTTAACATTGCTGGGCCTCAGTGCCCTCTTCTTTAGAAAGGGTAATGCTAATTATCCATCGAGGCAGGCATGTAGTGAGGAGTAGGTGAGAGGATGTGTTGTGAGGCCAGCACCCACCGCCCCTAAGATTCAAAGCTTATCCACCACTCTAGGCTGTTTGGGTGAGGCCCGGACATAGGTGTTTTATAAAAGTTTTATTCATTCATTCCTAGGGAGTTGCATTCATTGCAAATAGGGAGCTGCCATTCCTGTTCAGCAAATGTGTATTGAGCAGCTACTGTGTTCTAAGGATTGGGAGCAGCTCAGTGGGCAGGGGGAGCTCCTGAGGAGCTTCCAGTCTCGGGGATAGGGAGACATTGACCAGGTAACAATACATATTCACAGACTGGGATGAGGGCAGGGGAAGGGCAGTTGAGGGAATGTTTTCTGGAAGGAATGGTCCTTGAGCTGAGTCCTGAGGGACAAGGAGGGTTGAGGGCCTCTAGTCTGGGGACCTCACTGGGACGGGTGGCAGCTCCCTAGTTGCAACCCCCAACTTGGTCTCCCTTGCTTCCAGACAGCAACGCTGTACCCTGGTGTGGTTTTTGGCATCTGCTTCGTTTTGAATTGCTTCATCTGGGGAAAGCACTCATCAGGAGCAGTAAGTAAGGGAGGGACGGCTATGCTCGGTCCCACTCCCACAGGTCACTTCCTGCTGTTCCCTTCCCTTTTCTGAGTCCCCAGCATTCTGTTCCCAGTCCCAGGGGCTGTGGACGAGCTGGGGTTTCCCCAGCCCTGCCCGTCCGGCTGCCCATACTCCAGCCCTGGCCTTCTTGTGGGCTCTTGCAGACAGCTGGCCAGAGCTCACTTCTCTAAAGGGAGATTTCCACAGTCCAGGGGCCAGCTGGGGAATCTCCCGTTGCCTCGGCCAAGGGAACGTTGCCTGCTGTGGGTTTATTAGGTCAGTATCCCAAACAAGGCTCTCCGCCTGTCGCTGTCCCGCAACACCAGCCCCCGCGCGTTGTCCTGCCCTCAGAGCGGGGACCCTGCCAGCCCCGGCCATTGGTAGTAACTTGTGCGGGACTCATGGAGTAGGATTGCAGACTCAGCTGGGGGTGGGTTTTGATCCTGTGGCAGGATTGCAGTGGAGGGGGAGGGCAGGCATTTGCCATCCTGGCCTCAGTGGCGAGAGCCACCTCCCCTCCACCTGCAGGTGCCCATTGATCAGAGGTCCTTGGGTGAGGCTGGGAGTCCGGGGTGCCAGTGGACTGGCTTCTCTGCAGCGGTTGGGGAAGCCACCCTCAGGAAAGACAGAGTCATGTTCATCCTCTCACTTCCTCTTTTATACCTGTGTTCCTTCTCTCTTTCAACATTTTCCTCCCAGTTAGTTACCAACTGCTCATTATAAATACTCATTGTAGAAATTTTGGAAAGTACAGAGAAGTTGTAGTATATTTTTGCAGTCTTTTCAGCTACATTTAAAATAGAATGATATAACTTTAAAATTGCAATGTAACAGCAGGCATTTATATTGTGCTTACATTGGAATAAGTACTGTTCTCAACACTTTGTATATATTAATTCACTTCTTCCAGTTTGCATGACTCTTGTAACAACATAATACTGTGTAGAACAGGATAAAGAAGAAAATGAAAAATCACTTATAATCCCTACATCCCATCTGATGAAGTACTGTCAACTTTTCAGCATAGGCCTCTGTAGGCACATATACATATAAATACTGGGCTGTTTCTATTTAAATGGAGTCCTATACATACAGTTTTATAACCTGCTTTTTTGGCTTCATAGTGTATTACGGTGTTTCATTTTAACAAAATTGGGAACACACAATTTGTGCACTTTTGTTTTTTCCCTTTTGTCTTCGGTTAACATACCATGTAATTCTTCATCCTGGCCTCTTCACCACCCCATTATGTTCTTGCTTCCTGCCTCCTCCCTGGATGACGAGCCCCTTTGGGATGCCGGGGCTCCTTCTTTAAGGTCCTCAAGCTGCCCTCCATGTTTCCTCAGGGCTGGATCAGCCCCAGGAGGTTCTGGCCAGGAGCCTTGTGGGGGATGTGTCTGCAGGATCTTCTCCGTTGTGGTGGCCTTTCTTCCGTGGGACCCATTAGGTCCCCCTCCTCCCTGCATAGCCCCTGGCCTGAGCTTCAGGGCCTTGTGGGGCCTCACGGTGCTGTGCCCGCAGGTACCCTTCCCCACCATGGTGGCCCTCCTGTGCATGTGGTTCGGGATCTCCCTGCCCCTTGTCTACCTGGGCTACTACTTCGGCTTCCGCAAGCAGCCATATGACAACCCTGTGCGCACCAACCAGATTCCCCGGCAGATCCCCGAACAGCGGTGGTACATGAACCGATTTGTTGGGTGAGTCTCTGGCAGGGGTGAGGCCAGGGAATTCTAGAGTGGGCAAGGCGGACAGTGCCCTGAGCCATTTCCTTAGAACGTGGAACAGGGTACCCTCCCCTGGGGATGTTGTGCCTGGTATTTTGCAGCTCCAACAGGCTCTCGTAGACTTCGTGAAAGCTTAACTCGACGCCACATTAAGGAGACCAAGTTGTAACCAGACTTGGTGTTGGCCTAAGAACCCCCAGGATCGGGAAGGGAGGGATGGAAAAGTGCAGATGAGACAGGGGAAGACCATCACTTAGATCTAGGCAAGTTATGCCACCTCTCTGTACCTCACTTTCCCCATCTATAAAATGAGAAGATTGATGCCCAGCTTGCCTCTCTCTCAGGAGGCTGTCATGGTCCAAAAAGTATGCCAGAGAATTAGAACCACCACACCTGTGTGAGCACCATCCCTCATGCTACCTGGGAGGAGCCTGGATGCCCAGTGGCCTGGCTCTCCTAGCGGTGTTAACCCTCCCCTTCTACCGTAGCATTCTCATGGCTGGGATCCTGCCCTTCGGCGCCATGT